GCCTTACTGCAGGTTAAGCGCACACGCCAGGAATGCACAAGTAGCTCAAACCGGCAGCTGCCGCTCATTTGAGAGACACAATTAGGAAGCTGTTTTTAGCTCCATTTTAGAATCTTTTCTCAGGTTTTAGGTAGAAACTCTTGCCCCACGTTGGGCGCCCAAACAGTGCCACTCCTTGGTGACTAAGCCTTCAAATATATAAGCCCATTGGGACATTCTTATTCAAGCCACCATACTACTTTCATGTCAGCTTGACATAAGCTAGAGTTATTTAGGAAGAAGGACTCTTAGTTGAGAAAATATTTCCCTAAGATTGGCCCGTAGAGGGGCTGGAGAGACGGCTCAGTGGTTTAGAGCACTGGCTGCCCTTGCAGAAGTCCGGAGTTCAATCCCTAGAACCCACGTGGTGGCTCACAGCTGTCTGTAGCTGTAGTCCCACGGGATCTGAAGCACTCCTCTGATGTGCAGAAAAACACCCATATACATGAAATGGTTAATTAAAGATGAGCGTGGTGGCATGTGCTTTTAATCCCAGCACTTGGGAGGCAGAGGCAGGCTGATGTCTGTGAGTTCAAGGCCAGCCTGGTCTATGTTCCAGGACAGCCAGAGCTCTATAGTGAGACCTTGTCTTGGGGTCATGGGGGAGGTTGGCCTGTAGGCCAGTCTGTAGTACGTTTTCTTAGTGACTGATGTAGGAGGACCCATTCCATTTTGGGTGGTGCTGCTTCTGTGCTGGTGGTCCTGTGGGTATATGAGGAAGCAGGCTGAGCAAGCCCTCGGGAGCCAGTAAGCAGCACCCCTCCACGGCTCTTCATCAGCTCCTGCCTCCAGGTCCCTGCCCTCACTTCCCTCAGTGATGGACAGTGATGTGCACTATAAGGTGTAAAATCCCCTTTCTTCCCCAAGCTGCTTTTGGTCATGGTTTTTTACCACAACAATCGTAACCTAACTCCAGCACCCGGGTACAACTTCTTCTATATGGTGTTCACTCTTCTGCAAAGAAAGGGAGCCTGTTGTTGAGATCAACTCGCCAATTTCTGTGTTTTAGAGGTGGCCACTGCATGGATAAACTCTATTAAAAAGACAAAGATTTCAGAGTTGGCTTCACCTCAGATGTTCATGTCTGATTCACAGACATCTGTGTCTCCCTGAGAAGTAATTTTTTTTTTTATTACAACCAGAACTGTCCACCAGAGCGATAAGCCAGCTCCTAGGGGAGGTAACTCTCTGTAACGGGAAGAAGCCAAGCAGGGCCACCTCTCATGATCGCAGGGAAGGCAATCCTGAGTGGGGAGGTAGAGTCATCAGGAGATTTGAGGCTGCTCCATTTCTGATGAAAGTAGCCTTTGGTAGCACGTGGCTGCTGAGAAGACACGGTGGGCGTCATTTCCCAGCGAGCTGTTTGAAGAAGCAAGCTGTGGGTGTATCCTGTGTGTGTGGCGGGGGTGGGGGGATGTGAGAAG